GACTTTTTCTTACAGTATCCTAACTCGTATGTGAATCTTCTAATCCGTAAGGCGATCCTCAAATGTGTTTATTTAGAACTGATACGAAAAAACCCAAGCGTACGTAATATAGTCGGACCTGCGTGCGTATAAATCATAAGCGATTAGCTGCATAAAGATATGAATGCTCAACTATGCTGATTTCTCATGTAAGATATAGTGCTTAAGCTTGAAGTTCGCAGAGGCTTGTTCAGTAATGAAGGACCTACTTACAACTTCAAAGTAAGCGCTATATATATTTAAGTTGTTGTAACGTGCGGTCTTCATAAACGAGTAAGGGTTCGAAACGACCCTTCATATAACGCATTTAGAGTATCACATTTCGTATGAACGCGACTAATTTTCGATTGTCCTACACGGTAGAGTGCTGGGTGAGATCTGAGGGTTCGACTGATTGACTCAAATATTTCACGGGCAATAAAATAAGTGAATTTTAAATGGCAGGTGATTTTTCGTCTAGCAAAAAGAAACAAATTAACTGAAAAGTTTTAGGTATATAAGTCGGCCTCAGCTATATCTTCAGTAGCTGACATGGGGTCTATTAATGTAGTCGACCAGTTAGTGATTACTATTATTACGGTGGCCAAAATAAAGAAACTTTTATTTTAAAATTATAATCTAACTAGTTATACTGATATCATAATGGGTTGACGTTCGGAAAATGATTACTTGCTAGTAACGCTCCATTGCACACATCTTCGAAAAGAGGCTCGATTTTAATAAAAGTAATTTAAAAAGCTCAGGTCCATCTCTGAGCAGGTGACTTTATTCAATCATATAACTGGTGGACATCTAAATCCTCGATAGGAAAAATAAGGTTTTGTTAGGTCGGAGTTTAGGGCTACGTTTTAAGGTAATTGTTAACGGAAGAGGTAGGGCTAAGGGTAGGGTTTTTTACGACCAGGGATACAGTTAGGGCCTACGTTATGCCTGGTGTTTGAGTTAAGACACAGGAATTTTACCCTTTCTGGAGTGGTGCACAGGACCGGAAAATGTCTTATTCTGGTGTTTCCTGTAGTGGACCAGAAAACGAATACTTCTCAAACCCCCTTGCCTATTTTTCGCGCGGACAACCCCCCCTCCCCATCGTGGCCTGCATGGCCATCAACGGAAGGCCTTCGAAGCTGTATTTTCAAGGGTCAGGATCCATGCCAAATACATCCCTTGCCCTTATGGATATCGGTTGCAGATTTATATATAACAGCATATAATAGTGCAATAACGTGCTCTTACTCTATATCGCTGTCAGCTGCTGCTGTTGATGTATCCTTTACTTCTTTGCTGAACCGCTTTGATCTCCTCGGTTTCCCATTCTGGAGATCAGACGTCGATCCAGAAACAAAGAGAGATGGTGTTGATGACTGGGGTGTACCCATTGCGGGGGCGTCTAGGTCAGCTTTTTGTGGCCTGGGGATGCGACGAATGTTACTCAGACTTTCATCTGTCAAAGTGACCGTTGCAAGAGTTCCGCCATCTTCAAAGATGAGGCTAGCCTACATGTGAGATAAAATCGTCAGCATACTGCAAACACCAAATATCACCAGGAATTTCGCATAGGCAATCGAAATAGACCCACAACATACCTCATAGATATTGAACTGTTCCACGAGGTTTGCATCGGCATTGGAATCTTTTGTGTACTTGTCTGCCAGTTCCTTGATGCCCTGATCCTCAAGACAGTCAGTTATGTCATAAAATGTCTCCTGGTCGGGAACCGAACCAAGGACTTTGTTTATGAGGATCATTGTGTGAAGCAAAATTTCGGTGTCACTAGATTCCTGTCGGAGCAGGTCAATCAAGTAAGACCACGGTGGACCATTTATGCCTGCAAAATGAAGAGGAAGCCAGATTAAGCAAGTAAAAATGTGTATATATGTGAGGAAAGGAGAAAAAGAAAGTTGTCTTGATGGCAGGAATCTCACAAGACATATGTAAGTACCTTAAAATGAGTGAGATTTTGCCTAAACGAAACCGCGAAAGAAAAGCCCCAACGGGATCTCTCAATATCTGTCAACAAGCGTGCAGTTTTCAGATTTATTTCCCATACTCATTATGTTTCCATACTGAAAATAAGCTATATAAATGCGTTTTCCAGGTTAAACATGTATAGATAACCGGCGCAAACAAATCAAGTCACGAAACTGCAGAAGAAAAGTAGCGTCGAGCGGCAGCCAGAGGGCTACGCACATGCTTTATCAAGAGTTGATCGTATTCCACATTACTAAATGAGGTTATAATTTATAACTTTTTAGACCTAATCTTTCTAAAACTGACTTAGAAGCCCAGACCCCCAGGGCGAGGGGTATGAGTGCTGACTCAACTAAAGCGTACCCAGAGAGAGACTCTTAGACGAAAACAATAGTAGTTATCAATTCTTGCGTCCAGATGAGGGATAATAGCTGT